TCGAAAAAGGAACGGCAACATTCGTAGTCATGACTGGGACGAGCGCCGCAAGGATACAAAGTTCACCTGCGGCCTTCCTGGGAAGGCAGCGCAAAGGGCTTCCCTCAAGGTGCGCCGGCGCGTGCTGGCAAACTCGGAAGACAGAGTCCAGGGCGCAAGACAGAGGCTTGCGGTACTGCAGGTACGATACCCAACCGCCAACAGTGGAGGAGAGAAGCTCCTCAAACACAGCGGGAAGGGCAGCAATGCGCAAAGAGATGTATGAAAGAGCCAGCCTCTTAGACAGGGGGGCGGACACAAGAACGTTTCCCTCGGCTATTGACTCTAGGGTGGAGTCAACTTCTGCTCCAGTGCAGAGAGCCCAGGATGTCCTTATGATCTGAGCCTCGGAGGCCAACGCTTTCATACTGCTGCTTTGCTCGAAGCACCCTCTGGCCGGCTTGGCTCTGAGACAGGAGACAGGCAAGGCCTTCAGACGTGGTCGACTGAAGAGGCTCCGCAGGGGCAATGGCCAAGGAGAAGTAGTTGTCGATGACGAGTGCGTCATAGACAAGCGATGGGGGCGGAGGCCGGGCAGCAGTCAGCCGGCTCTCGGGGCCAAGCAGATTTGCTCCCTCAAGCAGAGAGCAATGAGCAGCTGTCCCATATTCGACTCCCCATGGTTCCCTGTAGAAGAGAGGAGAAAGCACCTGCCACACACGGATCCGTAGAGCTGCCAAGCAGAGAAGGTTTCGACTCAAGACCCAGGCCGTCGCCAGCAACTTCACGACACAGCTTTCGCCTGGCGAGCTCCTCTTCCAGGGCCAACGCGTAGGCGGAGGTGCCCTGGAACATTGATAGAGGCATGGCGGGCCCGACTATGTTTGAGGCACAGCAAGACGGGCTAACAGCGATCTGGTGGTAGAAGTCGGACCGGTCAGTGTACCGAGGGACACTCAGGAGCCCAATCATTTGTTTCTAGGGGAGCTGCCAGCTGACTCCAATCAGTCTGCCCTCCGTGCTGTTAGGACCACGGCGGTCCCCGATCATGCGATCGGTCGAGGGGGCCCACGGGGATGCTTAGGTGCGGGGTAAAGGCGTAGGACCCCTAACCTATCCCAAAGCTAAAAAACCTCCCTAACCTCCTTAGGGTCGTCACGGGTGCAGTCGGGGTAGGGGAGATTGTTTGCAGGAATGGACCGGAGCACTCCCGATGTCCCAGTGACCCCGTCCAGTGATGAGGAGGCGATCGGCAGAGGCATTGCGGTAAGGCTGCAGCACAGGAGGACCGCCGGCCAGGTGAGGGACAATGCCCGAGGCTGAGCATCCAGGGTAGCGGCATGCAAGTACACGTGAAGCTCCTCAAGCCGGGCAAGGAGGTGAGGGCCGCGTCTCCCAGAGGCTAAAGGCAGGTCAAGGGATTGCCGGCTACTCGCCGCTATAGCCCCTCGAGTCGGCAAAGAACAGAGCTCTGAGCTTGATTCGGGGGCCTTCGGAGGAGTTCGAAAGGGATGGGCTTACCATCGGAGTGCAGAAAATTGAGAGCCATACACACGATGTGTAGCACACGGCTTCTCGCAAAATGGCGCGCCTCCGGGCGCTTCCCCGAGAACACCCCAGGAGCGGGGACAGGGAGTGGAAAAATGACGGTGTCAGGGGGTGGCTCCCCCTCATGGGAACAAACTGCAAAAGAAGCGAGCAAAGGCTGCGCGGGTGGCAAGAAGCAGTCTCGGCAAGGCTGCGGCCCACTTAAGAAAACTTAATTTGCCGTTGAAAGGTTCTTCCTCGAGGGACGGCTTCCCGGAGGAATCGGCAAGGCATGCAGGGTCAGGCGCGTTCACCTGACAGGGGTCATTGGCAGAAGTGTCAGGCCTAGGGCCTAAGCAGGGGCGGCGGCCTTTTTCTCGGCCGCCCAAATCTTTGCTCTCATCTGCTTTCTGGCCAGCACTGGCTCGCCGGTCTTCGGGGTCAGAGTCCTGCTCCTTTACAAATGATAGCATCGTGGCTATCCACTTGGGATCGGCAAGGCTGCTGAAAGGCTTCAGTCCCGTGGTTGGGAGGTTCTGGCGGTCGAGGAAGATGCTTGACGGCGGGTCGTTTTGTAGGGTGAGCAACCACCCTATGTCCGGATTCCCATCCAGACTGGATTGTTCGACCATCACCATCATCAATGCAATGACGTCTGCTGCTGCGCGGGGCTCTCCATTTCCTGGGAGAGCCATCGCTATGGCCAATTGCCATTGCAGCAACCCCAACTCCTTTGCCTTGCTGAACCCCCCATATCTTTCCAAATACTTGGTCATCGTGCCCTCTGTCTCCTGAGACGACGAGGCTGCGGGCGTGGCCGCCGGAGACATTCTGCGCCGGGCGGCGGCAACAAAAGAGGCCCTCTCTCAGAGCCAGCTCTTGCTGGAGCTTCAGCCTCCCTGAGGTCCCCCGGGTTGACAGGGTCGAAGAAGCCTCGGGCAGGGGATCTGTCCCCGCTGCCGAGATCTGTCCCACCAATGACAAGGCTCGCGCTTGCAAAAGCATGGCCTGCGCCAGAGGTTGAGAGCTTGACTCTTCTCCGACGAGCTCGTCTCCAGTACTGGAACCTGGTGAAGACCTGCCTGACCTTGGATGAGCTGATCCTGTTTGGCTGCCATCTCCTGAACCTGCTGAGCAAGAGGCCACTAAGTCCTGCAACACACCTTGTTGAGTGGCAAGGTTGGCGACCGTGGGGCGCTTTGCCCTGACGTCTGCCTTGGCTTTGGCTGCCCTTGCTCGCTCCGGAAGGGGGCAGCATCTTCCCCATCCACGGCTGTGGCATAACCTGAGGCACCTCGATCCCCGTCGACGCCTTGGAGCCAGGCAACCGCAAAGGACGTGACCTCGACGGCCAAGGGGAACATAAGGGGATCCCCGACATCGAAAGGAATGACATCGCCCTGACCTGAAACATAGGGCATCAGAGCGGAAGACACTGCCTCACCAAAATCGGCCCCTTGCGGGATGAGGCTGGGTCCAGTCCCCGTCCTCTGCTAGTAGCACTGCTTGGACCGATACCACGGTGGCAGGTCCCAACACACCTACATGGCGCATGCCTGAGTGAGCGGAAGTCCAAGTTCAGGCGCAAGGGACGGGCTCAAGACCAACAATTCCAAATCCCCCGAATCAGCGGGGAGGATAGCCTCAAAGTCCATGGCGAACCTGTGCAGGCAAGGGGTTCTGGCAGGCTGCGTCTCTTTCGCCACTGACGACGGTGGACCTCAAGGAGGAGGCCTGTGCAAGCCAAGCAGCACTTCCAGCCTAGCACGGGCACCAAGGCCGGCGGGTGAATGCAGAGGTATCCTCCACAGGGCCCTGGGAGAGCCCTGGAGACACGGGTTGCACGGGTTTGGGATAGGCAGAAGAGGATGTAGAGGAGGATGAGGCCTCAACAGGAGCAGGTGTCGCTCCCGGAGACGCAGCGGCTTGTGAAGTTGCAGAGGAGGCAGAGGATGCCTGAGCAGATGGGGAAGGATGAAGACCGGAAGCCTTGGGCTTGCGGGCTGTGACAGAGAGGGATATACCCTCTAGGTGCAAGGCAATCTGGGTCACCTGCTCTTCCTCAGAACCCATATACAGCTAACCTAGACCTAGTCTGGTTAGGCGGTACTGCCGGAGCGGCAGGGGAAGGAAACACAGGAAGCTGGTGGTAGTACCTGATGAAGACAAAACAGGCGAGGGCCCCACACAGAGCTCCAAGCAGGTAAGTCAAGAGAATCAGGGGTATATCAGGTTGGCTACAATAAAGAGGGCACCGAAAACCCCAAAGGTTGTTCTTTAAGCCCTCGAGCACAACCCCAACAAGCTCTACCGCTACAGCTGCCTGCATCCAAAGCTTGAGCATCGCAGCGAAAGCCATCCACAGGTCGCCTCTAATGCCAGGACGCTCGGGAGCGCGATTTTGGTCAAAAGGGAACGATCAATTTCGAGGACGTCTCGAGCCTGAGCACGATTTTTGAAGATTAAATCATCAAAATTTTCAGGACACTCCGCACGGGAGCACGATTTTGGTCAAAAGAGAACGATCTTGAGAGGATCAATTTGGTATAGAAATCGTTCCTTTAAACGATCAAAATTCGAACAACGAATCCGACGAATCCTATACCAAACCTATACCAAAACGACCGCCCAAGAACCTTCCTCTTGAGAAGATAAATTTTCGAGGACGTCTCGAGCGGGAGCGCGATTTTTGAAGCTAAATCATCAAAATTTTCAGGATGCTCCGCACGGGAGCGCAATTTTGATCGATTTGAACGAAGATAAAATCGAGATGGAATCAGCGAAATTTTGAGGACGTCTCGAGCGAGAGCGCGATTTCTGAAGTTTTGTTGAAGGTAAAAAAAAAAACGCTCAGAGGCTCAAAAATAGCCAATTGTCTCGCGCGAGAGCGCAATTTTTGATTTTTGATAAAGTCCGCAAAAAGGCGATTTTTTGCGGATGTCTCGAGCAAGATGTTCGATGATTTTTTGAAAGTCAGGGGGTCGTCCAGTTCGTTTCGACCCCCCCCTAGCAAGACTACTTTAAAGGCAGTCTGGCCTCTCAGACGCAACATCGTAACATTCACATTTTTGAGGACGTCTCGAGCGAGAACGCGATTCATTGAAACAACCGAGTGCGTCCAAAATGTTTGCGCGACGGAAGAGCACGCTGCGGGTGCCGAGCGACGACACATCGAAAACAATTAGAACCCCAGACTAGATGTGGGGAATAAAAATATGTTCGTAATACTAATAGTAAATAATAGTAATAACAGGTGTTGAGGAAGAAGCCACTTCCCTTTTCTGAGGATGCATTGGGGCTCTGCCTAGCTTGAGCCAAAATGGCTTGAGCCAAAATGGCCAAGACTCTCTTCTTTCGTCTGGCAATTGCAGCCATTTCTTATTACATTCTCGTCCTCTTCGTCTTTCTGCTCTCCTCTGCACCCCGTTCTCTGCCGGTGTCGGTTACCATTCAGTGCAACTAACAGTTCTGTGGAATGTCTGTGGGCGAGATGCCCAGTGAGCTGGATGGGCACCAAGAAGTCGGGCAACTCCAAGACTGGCCAGCACAAATCTTCAGAACTGCAAGAACTGACTTCTGGTCTTATTTGCAAAAACGGGCCAGCCGGCCATCTCCCAGGGCTTCTGAGGCCGGATGCAGCGGCTTCAGCAGGAAGAGGGTGGACTCAGTCTCCAAGTAACTTTGATCCAAGAAACCAGGACATGCTCGAGCTCTGAGCTTGCGACGTCTCTAAGTGACATAACTGAGCTCAGAGGGGTAGGCTGCCCCAACCCGGTCTGAGCAGGCCTGCAAACAAGGCGAATGCTTCACAATGCTTTCCGGAACTAATATCCCCCCCCCCGGCTTGCTTTTACACCAAGTGTGCTGGAGAGGTCGGTTCTCCTTTCAAGCGGGTGAGGAGCGTTCTGGGACGTGGAGTGGTCGGCAGGGCATTGTGGGATGGCAGGAGGGAGGTCATAAGGACAGATAGCAGGAGGGGTGTTCGAGTGGATGGCAGGGGCGGTCGAGGCAGGAGGGAGCTCGCAGTGGGTGTTTTTCCGCTGTTCTCTCGAATCTGCGGGCGCATTGCGCTCCAGCGCAGATTGTCCTACGGTCTGACATTTGTGGGTCCATCCAGACCCAGCCACTTTGCTCGCCAGAAGCCATGTAAATAATCACAAAAGCTTCTGGTGAGAGGCCGCTCCGTTTACCCGATCTATGTGAGACTCGGAAGCTTGGGGGTCTGCCAAAAACGCATCGATTCTGATGCTAGTCTGGAACAGGGGAGTGATTAGGCCTGTTTTGAGGTTATTCCTGGAAACGCCACTGCCACCGCCACCGCCACCGCCCGGGCCTCCTCAGGCCGCTGCGTGCTCTTCTTGGGCCTTTCTAGGGGAAAGGTGATTTTGATCGTGTGAGGGCCTGTCGGTAGTTTCTGAAGATTGTGGTCCTCTCGAGCGATGTCTCAAAAAAAAGGACTCGGAACTGATCAAAGTCAGTGCTTCATGGGCATGCTGTCTATGCTTTCGGTTGTGAAAGTGCTACACAACCTGCGGTCCTGGGTCTCTAATTCCGATCCTTGCCTAAATTTCTGGCAGTGGTCTTGCAATTTATTGATGCACCACTACGCATCAACGCGCACTTCATCTCTTATCTCTTCACCTGCTTTCCTATCATGTTGCCCATGTTTTTACGACCACCCTATAGTCTGGTGTCATCCACGCCCCTGTCAACTTGTCATTCTTGACAACCTTGACCCTGCTAAAACCATCCGCCCTTGTAATCCCGTCCCCTAATATTAAACCCATCCCCACATTTTTCTTGTGTCACATACTCCCATTCTGTGGGTGGGGGGGGATTAATATTAGGGCGAGGGGATGAATTGCAGTCCATATCCCCATCCCCGCCCGCGGGAAACCAAGTAGGACGACTCGCCCCATAAATTGCAATTGTTTTCTTGATGGTCTTCCCGAGTGACATGTGATACAGTATTTAGGCCCAACAATGATGATCCACTACTGCCTTATCTCCCATGTTCAACACCTTTTCATGAGATTGCTAAAGGTAAAATTCAAGCTCTTACTTCATGCGCTCTGTCAGTGGTGGGTATTTGCCATCCTTTTTCGTTCGAATCATGACATACTCCCGGCTTTTCAAGTCCAGCATTGATAATTACAAGCAATGCTTAGAAACAGTATGACAACGGACACAGCACAAAGAATATCACAGTATGAAAATACGTTGCATAAGAATGTCTTGTTTTCAAGGGGGAGCACTTGCCAACAGTTATGTAAAAGAATGTCTTGTTGTAAGTTAAGTAGGAACAAACCCAGAATCCAAAGCCTGAAGCTGCATGAAGCAGTGCAGGAAATGGTTGAAGACGACCCATTCAAAGTTGTTGAGCAGTTGAAGATAGGAGACAGAGACAACATGAAAGCCAACGCACAGTGTGAAAGATATGAGTACATTGAAGAGCACACAGAGGAGTGAAGCAATACACCAAATAATCCTTTTCTGAAAACACAGGCAGGAAACCAGCCAGAAGAACACAGATGGTTCCTGCAAAGATGTGGCACTCAAAGAGAGAGAAAAACGAGGACCGAATCAGGGAATGCGAGCAACACGTACAATCCTGAACCTAAACATGAGATACTCTAAGTAGGCAAGAACATCATGAAGCGGACGACATAAACGTTCGCTGCTGTGAACCCCAAGCTGCAAATTTCCAGGCCCTGCCGGGACCGTAACCGAAATGAAAGGAAAGGGGGAGCGGAATTTTAAACAATTCTTCCCACCTACCATATCCTACTATACCCGTTAGCCATTGTCCTAACTGAATCGGGAATTGCCCCCTGATAGTGACCCAACCTGTGGCATCCAAGACTCCTGAAGATGTCGCGCATGGAGGCTTGCTATCACTTCACTAAAAAGCCGGGCCAAAGCCCAGACCTCCCTTCAAGGTTAGTCTGCAAAATGCGGTGTACGAGCTTTTTCCAAAAATTTCATTGTTTGATTCTGCTGCTAACGTCGAGCTTAGGCCGGTTGAAAATTGGGGTAGCAGCATGTGGGAGACGGGCAGAGGGGCGGGTAGGGGTATGAACTGGGAAATGCCAGCTTTCAGCTAATATTACATGTTGCGCAGTCCTACCATGATGACCTGGCCTTTTTCTCGACGACAAGTCCTGCGGAGTTGTAGCCGGACAATCTCAGCACGCTCCCTGTGTCTCGTCAAAAAGTCGCAGCACCTGCTGCCACCCTGACCGTGCACATGAAGGAACCGAACTGGCAGCACGTCACAAACAAAACTCGCTGCGACGAATAAACAACTGGAGACGACGCTCCATCAAAGCCATAAAAACCTACCGTGCTGGCCTTTGCCCACACTTGCCGGCAGCTATAGGCAGTCGGCACAGTCAGCAAATGCAACTGCCGGGAACATACAGATGTCTGTCCCTTCCACTGGCTCATTCGTCCATCTTGACATTTCCTGACAGCACATAAACTTGAGGCAATGTGTGAGGTGGGAATCTAGCTGGCCAGGGCAGGCGCCTGTGGGGATGCACATTTGATCCAGCGACTGAAGACACACCCTGGACCACTGGACGCACGTGCCGGAAGACGCCTCGGCTTCGCCGGACGTGGCGTCAAAACGTAGCGTCGAGTCACGTCACAAGCTCATATGGTCATATGGCGTCATGAAGACAGGTGTCGTTACCAGATTTGGTGCCATCGCTGGGCGTCAGATGCTCCGCCGGGCCAGGGAACGAACCTGTGTCGTGCCAGTGGGGACACTTGTTGTCAAACGACATGGCGTCAGAATGCGGCGTCACCATCAAGCCGGACGTGGCATCAGAACTTGGCGCCGGGGACCGACGTGGCCTCGCTGGCTGCGGCGTCAGTACGTGGCCTCCCTGATGCCTCGTGTGCAAGCGATGCCGCGTTCTGACGCTACATGCGAGGCAAGGGGCTCCAGTTTGTGACGCCACGTTGCGACAGCAGTTCTCCTGGTGAGGACAAATGATCTCAGGACGCTCTGATTTGCATGATGCAGTGGCATGCCAGGACAGTGGGACCGTTGGGTTCTCGCGTTCGCTCAACATGTGCAATCTAGCAGCCTACACCCGGAAGCCAGAACTGTAAGAGTCTGAGCCCCTACAGCGCAAAGCCAGCAACTTGTGCGCACAGGGCGTCCACCAACGCCCCAAGCCAACACCTGAGCTGAGGGCTGCAGGTTTTTCGTGGTTGCAGTTCAGCGCGTGTCTTCGCCTTCAACCGACCTATCTTCGAGAAGTGTCTTCGCACGCCCATTTTTGTCTTCACGACGACGCGTGTCTTTGCCCAACCTGTCTGCAGGAAGTGTCTCCACACGCCCACGTGCCTTCGCTCCAGAAAGTGCCCTCCCCCGACACGTCTTTGGCATGTGTCTTCTGATGCCCACTTAGCTTTACTCCGGGAAGTGTCTTGGCCAGGGCAGTATTCTCGGAAAGTGTCTTCGGACACGCACGTGAGTCTTCGCTGCCAGAAATGTCTTGGCCGGGAATATGTCTTCAGATGCCCAGGTGTCTGCACCTAGCACGTGTCTGCTGACGCCCAGGCGTCTGCGCAGAGCGCTCTTCAGTCCTACACCCCGCGTGTTTTCAAGATGCGTCTTTGGTCTTCGGGCCAAATGTGCAACCGCCCCAGGCGACCGCAATGTAGCTTTGCAGCTTACTGCAATTCAGGCTGTCCACTCCCCACACAAGAATCTACGAAAGATGCGACTATGCAACATAGCTTAGATCCGCAAAAAGTCGCTTTGCCAGGTCACACCTTCGCGAAAGTCGCTGGCATCGAAATGGGGCGTCATATGATCAAGATGTCGGAGAAGTGGGCCATGAAATCCCCTCAGAACTCAATCAGAACGGCAGCTCAGCAAGCAACATGGCCATTGCAGAGGTCAAAAACCATCCACAAAACTCGGCATGCTCAGGACTGCACCTGTCTGGTTGTATAGGAGTAGGAAGCTGACTGCGTCGCAACCCTTGTCAGCAAATGGCACTCGGAGGCGCACCCCCGGCTGAGCAGCATCCTCCAGACAAATCTCCAGCTCTTGGCTCTGCCAGTCCAGACTGATACCAATGGTCATCCAAGTGTTCTCGCTCCAATTTGCCAATGGCTCTCTGCTTGAGTTTGAAGCAAAGATCCCTCGGCCTTTGCCGTCCCTCACAAAGGTCATGAAAATGAGAGGTCGCTCTGGACCTTTGTCGTTTCCCAAACCATGTGCAAGCGCCAACACGGCTCCAGCGCGGTATGGAGACAGTGCGGCAGCCTTGCAGCGGTAGACCACCAAGGACGGTCGACAGGCCAAAGGAAGACTGAAGACCAGGCCACTTGGACCCAAGCTCGTCAAGGGATCTTGATTTGACAGGCAAATGCACCAGTGCCCGAGTGGGGCATAAGAGGATTTTGAAGCACGAAGCCTGTCACTGCAGGGGACACGCTGAATCTGAGGGGGTGCTTCGGCTCCTGGGCCAACACGCCATAGAGCTCCCTGTTTGCAAAACAAAGCTGGAACTCCTTCTGCTGTGGCAGCGAACGTTTCCGGATCCATGTTTGCAAAATTCTCAAAAAGCCACGCTCGCTCCAAAGTTTGCAGAAAGTGCAGTGCGCGGGCACGCTCTTCCATTGTTAGCAAAGCAAACGGCGAAGGACAGGGAAGACGTGTTTCTACAAGTGCCAGTGCAGATTGCCAATGAGCTGAGGCAGCGCGGCCCAGGCTGAGAAGATCCTTCGCAGCAAGAGCGGGCCAAACCTGGAGGAATCGGGCAAAAACAACTGCAAGTGTGAACAGTTGCATATAACTTACGTAACCGTTCTGTGAACTCTCATGGTCAGGGAACCTGGGGCAAGATGCCTGTAGAACTCGCGAGCACGGAATCAGCGAACGAGCTCATGCTGGCTTCGACATGCAGCTGCTTATCTTGTGCAATGTTGGAAGCCATTGGGTGAATGAAATTGACGCCTTGGATTTTGGTCTTTGAGCTAATTGCAAATGCACGGAATCCAGCATGTCGCAGATGGACTCGAACGTTCTGAACCAGCCCTACCTGGAAGCATTCCCCTCGTATCGGTAGACCTGGGAACAAAGCACGCGCAAGTACCATGAACCATGCACAAACTGAATCAAGGTCTGCACGACGACTTGCTGCGACCTTACATGACGTGTGGCAAGGAAATCTTGGATGTTGCACCTTGCAAGGGAAGCTACCTCACCATAGATTGGCCGAAAGCGGCTTCCAACACCTCTGGATCCCATCCTTCATAGCACTCCCCAGTTCAGGCACGTTGCTGACAAAAAGGCTTCTCTATGCATAAGGCATGCCAAGCCTGCACCGAATGGGCTAGCTCCTGCCATCTCACACCGGGTGAGGGATCAAAATGGAATTAGATAAGGATCAAAAAAATGTCGATGATAAAACCAGATAAGGAAGGACCAAAAAAATGAGATATTCAAATTCAAATGTGGTCAAGCCAAGCCCCACGCGAGAGCGATGAAAACAACATGAAAAATGATGAACAATGATGGAAATGATGAAACATGATGGAAAATCATGAAAGTGAAAGAATATGAAACATGATGAGAACGATAGAATAGTGACCAAACATGCTCAAAAAAAATGATGAACGTTATGAAAAATAATGAAGATGATGTGAAAATGATGAGCAAAAAATTGGGAATGATGAAAATGATGAATGAAAATGATAGAAAATTATGACAATGACTTGGAAAATGATGAAAAGACGATGAAAATGATGAAAAGTTAGTGAACTGATAGAAGAATGATGGAGATTGTACAAAGAATACGAAACACTATGGAAAATGATGAAAACTTACGAAAAATACGAATGAAAAGAAAATGAAGCAATGGATGGAATCAAAAAAGAGAGTGTGTCGGCGTGGGCGCCTACCTTTTTCAGGTAAAACAAATGCTGTTTCATTATTTTGCATGATTTTCTACCCAAATTAAGTAGGGGTGCCCCATTCAAATTCTAACAAAATCATGAAACTTTTTATAAGTTAAGGAGAGACAGCTAGATAGCTAAGATTCGCGGCTGGGCCAACACTGAACCCAAAACCCTAAACACGAAACCGTAAACCCTGAACACCAAACCCTAAACCCTATATTGGCATGTATCCAAAAGCCTGTGTTTCTCACATGCTCAAAACATGCATATAACATGATAACACGACTAGAGTAATTGATAATCATTTTTGGGGGGGAAGGCCTCCCCTAAATGAGATCGTTCAACATAGTCCATCGAACATTTATATCCATAACTGTAAGTTCAATTCGATACGTTAGTGTAATTGGGGGATGCGGCGCATCAAGGACTAAAACACATTTTTGGAATGACGCCTCCCCAACTTGGTATACTTACTACATGCAAAGCTATAAAATCGCTACTGCCGTTGTTTGGTGTTGGGGCGGTCCCTGCCAGTACAATTAATACAGTTAATACAAAAGGTACGTGCATATATGTGTTGTTAGATAAGTTCTGCTTAACTATCAATACAATGATTGCGTCTGTGCCGATCCTTTGAGTGAACTGCAGGAGGTGTGTTCAGGGTGGCTTTGTTTGGTGTTGGGCTGGTTCCTGCCGGTACAATTGATACACTTATTAGAAGAAAAGTTACATACATGCATGTGTTGTTAGATAAGTTAGCTAAGCCATCTGTACAGTTCGGGCGTATATCCCGACCGGTATGGTAAGGAAGGCCTCCCCCAAATATATTCACTCTCAATGGCTTCACTTGCATTCGTATACTGAGTACAATTCATATGCATGGAGTTCTTCATGCAGTTCCCACACCAATTGCCTTAAGTACATGGGGCAAGCGCTCCCCTATGCAAGTAGCACGAGTACTATAATGGATATAGATATATACATCTATATATATATATACATTTGTGTGATAGTCATGGTTTTGGGAAGGGCCTCCTCCAAAAGATGTTAATGAAGTAAATCAACTATCTATATCCATACAGTAAGTTATGGACTATATATGTATATACATGTTCAATGAGATACAGTAATGTTATTGGCGGATGAGGTCCATGAACAATTACTTACATTTTGTGAATAAGGCCTGGCCAGTTATACGAATTTCATCTATGCCATCACTAGAGTAAGCAGTTTAATTGCAGGAAAGAACCCTATCCCAATGGAATACCTCTGCAACTAGTGCAAATGTAGGCTCACTATCTTGAGAATGTTAGTTAATTTGACTAGTTAGGGCTTTGGGCAGCGATTACAAGCCTAAAACCAGACCTTTATGTGATGTGTTTCTTTTTTAAACTATAGCAGCTATAGTATGATGTATTCCAGGTTTTGCTTTGGTGTTTCCATTACTTGTTGTCTTAGATGGCATATTTTTGAGTAGTTCAGAATTATTTGAATTTTTCCATGTCAACTTAATCTGGGAAATATACTGCAAACGCAATGGTTGTTAATCGGGTCATGCTTTCTTGGGTTTATGACTACACTCAATTATTCACTTTTTTATAGAATTGTTGTTTCCCTTTTGCATTATTGAAACATTTAAGTATTGTTTCTTGCAATGTTTGTTAATTGGGTCATGTTTTCCCTTTTATGAATAAACTCAAGAATTCACTTTTTACAGAGCTTTCCTGTTCCTTTTGCATTCTTGAAACAGTTAAACAATGTTTCTTGTAATGTTTTTTCATTAGCTCATAATTTTTACGTTCATGAACACATTCACTTATCCACTTTTTGTAGAATTTTCGTTTCCCTTTTCACAATCTTGAAGCATTTCAACTTCGAAAATATCTACTGTTGTTAACTTATGTTATTTTGTTCTTACATATCTCACTTGTTAATTTCATTCTTGTAGCATTCTCATTTCACCTTTTTGTTCATTAGTTTAGCGATTTGAATGGAAATGTGTCGTTGGGGGCGGGGACCGCTACAAAAAATCGTAATTAAGTAGGAGATAGCTAATAGAGGCAAAGCATTATTATTCAATGCTAACGGAAAGCCTGTGAGGCTGGGAGAGGGAAGGCGCCAAAAACAAAACCGGCCAGCCAATTTCATTTTTTTTTGCCCCCGTCCCTTCCTCCCCTAACCCCAGAGACTCCTCGCCCGTCCTTTCTCACTAAGTTGAGCCCTCCTTCCCCCTCCACCCTAATAGGCCCTCTCGCCCTTCCACCGCTTTGAATAAAGCTTCGCCTCTCCTTCTAGATAGCATCAGTATAGATTAGTGCGTTCTCGGAAACACTGAAAAATGGAGCCCCCAGGGCGACACTTTCTTTCAAGGAAACGCGGCGGGGGGAGGGGGGGGGGTTGGGTGGGCGCAGCCATCCCCTATTTTCCTCGCGGCCTCTAGCCAAGGCTCCAGGCACAATGATGGAATATGATGATACGTGCCGACATTGCTCCTTACTTCCTTTTACTTCCTTCCTTGTCCTTCCTTCCTTCCTTCCTTCGTGAAACAGGATTTTCTCTTCATTTCCTCTCAACAAAATGTTTTGACTTGTTGTTTTCGATCCTTCCTTCCTTAAGTTCCTGACATAAGATTTCCCTGTGATTTCCTCTGAAACAGAATATTTCGATTTTTGTGTGTGATCCTTATTTGTTTTTTTGTTGATCCTTATTTGATTTTTTGATCCACATCACTCTCACACCCTGCAGCCCACAAAACAATGGCTGATCTTCGGACAGATGGCCTCGACTCTCTGCAGCAGACAATGCAGCTGGCAAGGACCTCAGAGATAAGAGCTTTACGACTTTGGTGGCAGCTCAGAAGGGGCGGCAGATCCTCTGATGCGGGCTTTCCTTGCCAGCAGCCTGCTGATAGACATGTCCTGCTCCATCGTCCAGGAAAGGGGTTGTAACTTAGAAGCAGAAATCTGTGGCGTGACCTGTATAGCCTTCTGCAGCAATTATCGTTGCAGCTCCTTATCTTAGACCTGATGGAGTCCTAGCACCCTCAAAGCTTAAGGCTTAAGGCATCCTCCTGAATAACTTCTGGGACACATGATGCCTCGCTCTTACGTGTAGCATCTCGAAACAGAGTTTGTTTCAGTTCTGTCAAAGTCTTGGGATAAAGCTTGGCCGGCGAGCCTTTGCCGTGCTTCACCTGGCCAAGACACGAAATGCACTGGTAATTCTTCATAGGTTGCTCGCTAGTATTGACGCATGATGGCCTCATCAGACAACCCTGGTCCCAAGCCTAAGTTCAAGTGGCGCACTGCGGCGCACTTGTGTTGAAATGCACCGTTTGTTACAGGCCTAGGCGTAAGTCCCAAATCCATGGGCTGCAGAACTTGCATGACACTTATCAACCTCGAGGTGCGCAACCATAACAAGAGGTTGCGACCTTATCCATGTTCCAGGAATCCTGTTTCTGGAACACTTGCTTTGGTTACCTTATCCATATCATCAAACCAGCTTTGCAGCTCTGCAACTGCTCGAACTTTTTGCGGTGAGCGCTGCCAGTTTTGCAAGCGTTACGAAGTTCAGTCCAGGCCAAACTTTGAATTAACGCTGTCTGTTTTCGCACAGCGTGCACAATGCAGCCGGGAGTCTGCTTGTCCCTGCGCTTTGGCCACGCACATAAGACAGGCTCGAACACGATAAACTGAGTCTAACTTTACACGCAAGCCACGCCAACATGTTGACAGCACCATTGCTTTTTCGGTGCTGACCAACCACTTTGCCATTTTGACAGGCCAGCGGAGCAGTTGAAAGGTAAGCTGCCTCCGGCGTGGACCTGGATCCAGTGGTGATTCCACTGCCAGATCATCCCGTGCGCTGCAACGCCCGGTGGATTGCCATGGCTATGTGACATTCCTGCGTGCCCTTGCCCTTGCCCGCTGTGGATCATGTGCGTCTCATGCGTTACGTGTGTGACTGTAGCGGCCGCACATCCCAAATGCTGGTGCTGGCAACACCATGCCTTCTTGCCCTGTGACCAGCCTGTAAGGTGGTGCACAAGGCCAGCATGACAATCGTATGGCAGGCTCATGCCACCAGCGTGCACTGCGACCCAAACCCAATACCCGTTCACCTGAACCCTCTTCCAAACCATGCCAAATCCTGCATCTACATTTGGGGGCGAGTCCCCTTCACAGCCCTTGTGCTTCACGGTGCAGCACCACTGCTTCTTCGCGGGCGACCAGGCTCTGAAGAAGTTGTTGAAGGCAGCATCGCAATCAAAGGCGGCAGAAGTGGCGACATGAATGTCACAACCGGCTTCTTCAATGGAACAAGCTCGGCATACATCACACTCCACTTGCACTTTGCTGTATGCCAGGGAGCAAGCATTCGGCTCACCTGAGAAAACATGTCCTCGAGTCCACTGCATGCGGCTCTTGCAGGTGGAAGTGTCTCCATGTAGAGTACAGGGGGCTTCGCAGCCCAGCGGTGAAAGTGTCGTTCTAGCACATCCTTTCTGGAAGTTTGTGCAGCACCTCGGGGCAAACAAATTCAAAAGCACAGCTTGGCTTCGAGTGTGACCATCATCACAAAAGCCACCAGCAAACTCGCAGAAACAGTCAGCTCAGGCACCACTGTTGCTTGTGGGCACTCCAGTGATGGCTTTGCCCATTACAATAATACTTTGGGCAACCTTTGTCTTTGTGACTGCAACACCACTTCTTCTTTGAGTCTGACCAGCCCTGAAGCCAGTTGGAAAAGCCAGCATCACAGTCATAGATCTTTCCCGTTGCCACGCCAACATCGTGCGAGATATGAACATGATGTAGGTGAAGGCTTCCGTGCCATGTTCCAGGACATCCTTTGTCCTCGTGGTCGCAACACCACGTCTTCTTCACTTCCGACCAGCCGAAGTACCAATTCGAGTACCCAGCATTGCAATCGTAGTGGCCATGGTGATGATAAGTTGGAGGCATCTTCACATAGATAGGTTTGGAAGCCACCTGTACAGCAACAGGCTTGCGCACCACCTCGACATCACCAGGTGCCGGCACGTGCACCATCTTTGGAACCTCCACATACCGGGTTTTGATAATGACCTTCCCTGGCACTGCTACCGTCTGAACCTTTGGAACATCAGGCACAGGATACGGGACTGTCTTGTACTTGATGTGCGCTTCAGGCGTTCTTTTGGGCGGCAAGTAGTGTGGCACCTTGACTTTCTTGATCTTGACAACCTTGTGGTACACGTTGTGGTTGATAATCTGCGGACGGCATCCTAGCTGCTTCAAGTAGCAACAGTAACGAAGATGTCGTGAGGACCACGCATCCATTGGTGAATCTTCGTCGCAGGTGTAGGGCAGCGGCTCTTGCACAACAACCTGCTTGGTTACCACCCTGGGCACCGGCACCCGGACACGAACTTTCACAGGAAAAGGAATGGACTTGTCGTGATACACCACTTTGGGCACGTACTTCACGTGAGGTTCTGGGCAGCCCTTTCCGGCATGCAAACAGCAGTATCTCTTCTTGTCCTCATCCCAGAGAGTTCTCCAATCGGTGAATCCGTTGACCTTGCAGAATTGAAACACAATGCACACTTTGGACCCACCGTAAAGATGGCAGGCTAGGCAGCTGGCACAATCTGGCACAGGAGGCGGCACAGCGACGTCCATCCCTGGATCCCGTCCAGGCACTTTGTAAAGAAAGATAACCCACATCAAGCCTGGCAGCTGCTCGTTTGCAATTCTACGCAAGAACCAACCAAGTCAGCACGCACAGAACAAGTCTTGTGCAGCTTGGCCTATCAAGAGCGGAATCAGCATGGAACATATCATGGTGCCGAATAAACCGGAGAATCGACCAGGAACAGTCACCTCCTGCGTGGTTGTGTACTGTTGATGGCGCTTGTGAAGCTTTGGCTTGAAAAGCTGATTTGAAAGCTGTGCGTGCAAAGGCGTGGCTGGTTAAAAAGGATCTTGCGCCCCGCCCCCGTTTCCATCACCTGCACACCTCCAAACACAAGACCGCAGCCCACTTGCTGTGGCTACAAGCTTACGGCACCCTGAGCCTGGACAGTCCCAGACCAGCCCGGCTGAGTTTTGCATTTCCTTGTCTAATTCATTGGCGTGAAAGCTAAGTTGAAGCTGCGGGGGATACAATTTTGCTTGCAAGCCCAAATTTTGAGAAGGGGTTGCGCGAAAGGCTGCAGCGTTTAGCAGATGCGTGAAACTACCTTGTTGCCGCAAGCTGCCGAGGGGTGGTGACAAGAGACTGCATATGCCACCACAAGCTTCCGGCAATCTGTGAAACTACCATGCTGCGGAGTGTCGACAGGAGCCAGCAAGGAACCAACACAATTCGCATAGTTGTAGCAATCATCATTAATCCTTCCTCTTGACTAGTAAAGGCGCCCCGTCCTCCCCACCCTTTATTACTAACCTAGGGCCCATTATTCTAACGATCGTGGCGTATACGTGGTGTAAGTGCTGTGCTGTACGTGGGGGGTGTAGGCACCGTGGTGTGCTGGTGTGGTGTAGTTGATGTGGCGTATGTGGGCGGTGTAGGTGTCCTGGCGCTGTTGATGCCGTGGGAGGGTGATCCAGTGCGCGCTCCCATTTGCATCCAGTGCGCACTCTGAAATCAGCATCCAGCGCGCACTGTTCTTGCATCCCGTGCGCACTCCTTGAATCTGCATCCACTGAAGGGTTTGGGGTTCAGGGTTTAGAGTTTAGGGTATGGGGTTCAAGTTTTACGGTTTTAGTGTTTTTTTTTACAACCCCATTGGCCTTTTAGGTCTAGCAGCTGCTTGGGGGTACGTTTGCCCAGTAGGACTAGTTTGTTACCGTTCGGTACTACTTGTGCTCAGTACTGCTCAGGGTTGATTCATCGCACTCAGGGAGGTTTCGAGGATGCCAGGGATGTAGTCGTCGATTGGGGTTCTCCGATGCAAGGAGCACTATCACAAATGTTGTCTGGTACGGTAGTACTCGGAGGCTCATATACAGGACCCAAAAGAGAAGTCAACCCTTCACCACCGTCACAAAGTGCAGGAAAACCAGCTTCATCCCCTTGACCAACATCACCACAATGACTATCATCAGGAAGTGCACCAACAGGAACCTCTCCACCCTCTACTTCATCACGACCAGGACCTCTTTGACCCAAAGGAATCCCTGAACCACCATCATCACAACCACGATCATCACCCCGAAACCCACAAGGATCATGAGGAAGCCCAACAAGTAGACCCTCCATGTGATCACGTCCATGTACGCTTACGCTTGTATTAAGTGGAGCGATTGTAGGATCACCCAAGGAATGATCACCTCGTTCGGCCTCATGTGCAGGAGCGACATTGCCGCCAGGTTGTTCAAGAGGAAATGGGGGTTGTACTAGGGGAAGTTCAGGAGGAGCTACGGGCGGCAACACCCCCATGGCAGGTTGAGGATCCACACTTGTCAATGCTGGTTGCTGCTGTTGTTTTGATTGTGGCGACTGTACCACACCTCGCTCACTGTGTTTTTCATGCTCATTCTGGTCAGCTGCTTCTTCCTTCTTTCGTGCTTGTTTGGATGCTTGCTTGGTTGCTCCCGACTCCTCTACATGATCTTCACGAGGCCTCTTACGGGATGGACGCTTGCGCTTCGGCCATTCCTCAGTCTTCTCCTCATGGAGATCATGCACGCCCCTCAGACGCACATCATCAGTGGAGCTGGCAGCACCGTTGTCATGCTCCCCTGTTTGTGTGCCCATGTCTCGTACTTCCTCACGGACAGGCATCATGCGCGCCCTAACCCTAGCTTTGCCCATGTCACCGTTGAGCTCCACATACGTCGCCCAATCGTCCCGTTTTTGGTTCGCCTCCGCAATCTTGGCCTGCTGGGCTTGAAGGTCTCTCTGGTTTCTGCCAGCTCTCCTTCCTGTTCCTGGCTTTCTTCGCGTGGCACAGCATCCTCATTCACACTGGCTGAGACTCGAGGGAGAACATAGCAAATCAAGCGCTCCTCCCAACTTGCTGCCCACGCATCTGCATGGTCAACCCCCTCATTCGATTCTTCTCCACTATAGCTTTGGAGCACTGCAAACATCATTGCGATTCTGTCTGCAGCGGGACCTCGAACATTCTGCAGGGCATTGGCAATCCATGCATTCATCCTGTAGAGGACCTGACTAACATGCGCCCCAATTTGGTGCCCATCCGCCTTCAATCTTTCTATCGCAGATTGTAGTTGTATGAGCCACCATCCTTCATGATGATAGGCTAGGTCAGCATCGATCTGGTCCGCCGAAGTGGTGACAGCAGGGGCTCTCTGCATCAGGCTGGTGTCGTCACCTTGTTGGTTGCCGTGGCCGTGTAGTACTCGTTCTTGCCGGCGCTGGCCAGACTTTCTATAGTACTGCCTAGCAATGTTGCGGATCGTCCTCCACATGTTCTTGCGCTGCCTTGTGGGTCTTCCTGATGTCCAGCTCGGCCATTCATCATGGACTTGTAGCCACTGTGCAATTACCGTTTTAGGGTTTAAGGTTTCGGGTTCAGGGTCGTGGGTTCAGGTTTCAGGGTTTAGGGTTTAGGGTTTTTATTAAGTGCAATGGCTCTAAGGTCTAGGGTTTACGGTTTACGGTTTACAGTTTTTTTAAGCGCCTCTTTTAACCCGCATATTCAGTCCAAGGCGGACAGGCGTTAAACAAGCCAGGCACTGCACCTTCCGTGGAAAAGCACTCAAATCTTCAGCCTCATCCTTCAGATTGGCTTTCAAGAAAAACCTCCTGTGCTTCAAATGCTTCCAAAACCCCACTCCCATACCTACGCAAAATCACTGCAGACGTAATGGCCTCCAGAGACCACTGATTGTACAAGTGGATCCCCGGGATACTACCAAGGAACTCTGAAATGTCAGCACCCTCCGGCAAACTCAACTGTACACCCTCGGCATACTCTTCAGTACTAGACGCAGATGAGCTCACATGACCTGCTGTTTCAGTCCCTTGCCCTTCTCCCTGAGGCTGTGGTTGCCCATGTCCCCCTTCAGAACCATCCATCGAAACCGATGTCAGCTGGAATCCCATAGTCACTGTACTGCCCTCGTCCAGCAGCAGCTGGAAGGACTCTTGGCGCCGAACCTTTCCGCTTCCATCGTGCTGCTGTACCATGACCCTCAAGGACGTTCTCTTCTTCCTAGCCGGCCTGGCAGTGGCTATTTGTGGGTTCATCTCCGAAAAGACTGCCCAGTCTTCCCACTCCTGTGCAGCTTGGGCTTGTTTGTCCTTCCTGTATCGCTCATATCGCTCTACATCCGCAGCCTCTTCCTCCGCCACCAGCGCATCGTGTTCTTGGACTTGTGCTTCCAATGTCTTCTGTTGCTGGTAGGCGTCCTCCTCCAAAACAGCTTGTTCCAGTTCTTGCTCTTGTTCCTCAAGGTCTGGTTCCGGTTGCGTTGGTACCTCCTCCGTAGGCGCTTGACTGGACTGAACAGTGTCCGGACCCTGCTCTCCATTTTCACACGCACTGTTCCAGAGGGCTTAGGGTTTAGGGTTTAGGTTCAGGTTTTACGGTTTCAGGCTTTAAGGGTTTAGGGTTTCGGGTTAGGGTTTAGGGTTTAGGGTTTTAGATCCGGGTTTTACGGTTTCAGGCTTTAAGGGTTTAGGGTTTCGGGTTAGGGTTTAGGGGTTAGGGGTTTAGGGTTTAGGGTTTAAGGGTTTAGGGTTTAGGGTTTAGGGTTTAGGGTGTAGAGAGTTTAGGGTTTAGGGTTTAAGGTTTAGGCACTGCGAACTGCTGCACGCATGCAGGGTTTAGGGTTTGGGCCTTACAGTTCTAGGGTTTTAGGGGTTTTCGGGTTTAATGTTTCAGGCTTAGGGTTTGGGGTTTTGGCTTGTTGGTCCAGGCTTAAGGCTTCGGGTTTTAGGGTTTGGGGCGGGGGTTCAAGGGTTTGGGGTTCAGGGTTTAGAGTTTAGGGTTTAGGGGGTTCAGGGTTTAGAGTTTAGGGTATGGGGTTCAGGTTTTACGGTTTTAGGGTTTAAGATTTCGGGCAGGTTTTAGGGTTTAGGGCTTAGGGCTTTTTAAGTGCAATGGCTCTAGGGTTTAGGGTTTACAGTTTAATCAGGGCTTAGGGTTTAGGGTTTAGATTCAGGCTTTACGGTTTCAGGGTTTAAGGGTTTAAGGTTTCGGGTTTCGGGATTAGGGTTTAGGGGTTTAGACACGCGCATCGCACAAGCAGGCACGGCAAAGTCTGTCCGGTCCGGGCTAAATCACTACACTGACTTGACTGACCAACTACACTACTACACCAACAGCTGCACTCAGTCCATCTCCTAGACGACGCACGCAAGACAGGGACTTCACACACAGTTGCACAGTGGTTGCAGGTCTGACGAGCCAGTGACTGCCAGTAAGCCACTTGGGCTTGTCCAGTGAGCTGAGGGCATGTTCACCACCAACAACCAACAATCTCCGCAAAGGCATTCATGCATGCCTGTAGCAAACAAAAATTCCACTTCCTCAAGGGGCATGCAGAGGCACGCACATGCAGTGGATTCTCCAGTTGTATGCAGGTGGCAGTCTCCAGGCACATGCAGCTTTGAATTCTTGATGAATTCCTGTGAGGCCAGTCTCCAGGGACGTGTGTCAAGCAGGTACATGGTCAAGCAGTCGCAAAACAGTCCACAGCGTTCATGC